GACATGTGTGGGTGGGTTCTGAAAGGTGGGACAAAATCTGTGAAGCCTTTGTAACTACATTTATCTAATTCAATTAGATAAAGGATAGATGTGTTTAAAAAAAAGACTGAACAAATGGAACTGAAAGGAAATATCTGAGTGACCAAGGAGGGATAAAAGCCCAGTGAGGCCTTCAGGAGGACACATTATACCTCTGATTTTAAGAGCAGAGATTTCCCAAATATTGTTCTTTGGAGCAGATTTTTTTCATTCAACTCTGTCAATGGGTAAATAAGTTTGACACAGATTTTGATACTTTAAAATGAGATGTTAAGGATTTCAAGGATTTGTCATCAAGCGCCATCATATCAGGAAACGTTTTTCCTTTCCTGTCCTCTTTCCTTCAGGAATCCATGGAGAGCAGGTCCATGCTCAGGTTGCGTTGGGTTGATCAACATTCTTTGATCTAAAATCAATTTTGTGTAAAAACATGTGATAAATTCTGTATTTTAATTACTGCACATCTGTACAAGTACTCCAGTATTACATAAAAGATATCGGCCTACACATAATATTTGCACATTAACAATAGCTAATCTAAAATGAAGATGCATGATCACATTGTTGATATGAGGTACATGATAGCTGAAAGGTCTGCTTTAGGGATTGTGTTAAGTGTGTCTACTCAGATACCCTTAAAGAATAACATGGATATCTCCAGACTCAAAGAGCTATTTATAATGTAGCAAAAGTGATTATAGGCTCTTGAAAACATATTGTTATATTTTTTCTAATTTATCTGCTAGATCAAACTATTTCTGACAATCAGGCCCTTTTTTCCAAACTGATTGGTAGAACTTCTCACAAAAAATTGGGGAATTTAGGCCCTCGTCCACCATTCTGAAATTTGCATCAGTAATTTGGGTATGTGTGTAAAACAAAGCACTATTAGTTCAATACTGCTGTGTCATCCCGTAGAGCTCAGGCATGTGGTTTGAAAAACCTGGGAGTGACATTAGATTTCCTGTGAGGTTTTCTCTCAACAAAAGAAGTCTGCTGAATAATGACTTACACATATCACTGCTATTGTGAGCTGTGTGTTTTTTCTTTTGAATGAGTCTCCATTTCTTTCTGTCATTCATGTTCACACATTGACTTTGAAAACCTGCAAATGCCACATAAGCCACAGGATTAACCTCTAAATGGTGCTCTGTCAGTGGCGCAAAACTAATAAAGGAGAAACACAGAGTGATCAAACAATAAGTGCAACATAAAGAGGGCGTGGGTCACCATTATGAACACATTGATATGATTTGGATACACAAGTATCCAACGCATGTGACTAAACTGCACACATATATTCTTCTTTCTTTGAAGCCTAATATGATCTGAGAAGTCAATGCCACATAACTCACCTGTATTGTCCGCGCTAAACCCCAGAGTGTTTTTATTGGGCCATGTGCTTTAGAACATATAATCCCCCTTTAAAGTCTTTTTACTGTCCCATGACACCAAAGACAGATTACATGTTGTGGTGTGTGGTAAGTCTTGTTATGTCTACGATAGTGATCGTCCTGTACTGTTGAGGACACGTTGACGGACTAAGATAAATTTCAACCCCCCTGGAAAAGACAGAGGACATATTGGCTCTGCCAGGGTTCGCGCACAGCACGACAAAGAAGGTTCAGTACAAAAGAGAGTAACCCGACCCATTGTATCATCGACAGTGTCTTTCATGTCAAATGAGAACCATTCTGTATTTGGGGTTTGGATGGTGGGTTTTGTTAGTTTTTTATGTCTTGTACAGACTCCTTTATAAAAGGATGTTAGATTTTCTTTCGGTCTTTCTTAAATAGTTATACCGTTTTGCGAATTTTAAGTTTATATTTTTATACAAACTGTTGAAAGTTCACAAATGCATCTAAAATCACCCTCTGAGTGCTCTTGTAATCCATCCAGACTACAATTTAAGGGGGAAATATTTACAATAAGAATCATATTTACACAATCATGACTTCAATATCATTGTTATCTTTCATTTTAATTGTATATTCAATGATATTAAAAATCTAATTTTTCAAATATAAATGACTTAAGTAGCTCTTTCTTTTGCATTAAAATGTTTTTTAAAACACTGATTCAATGGTTAAAAAAGCTAAACCCTTAAAAACAAGTGAATTTAGGAAAAGTGAATTAAAAAACGAGTTTCATGCACATAAAGCAAATTTATTTTTGTATTTAATGTTATGCTGCCCTCTTGTGTTGCAGATATATATGAATATGCCACCACAACTTTTGAATAAGACAACTTAGATTTTTGCACATAATAGTAAAACTAGTCAAATCAGAATGTATTCATAATATAACATCACATATCTTTTCAGCCCTTCAGTATAACAAAAAATGTCATTGTATTACATTTATTGTTAGACTTATTATGGAAATAATATAATATAATAATGGAAATGTGCATTAATTTGCTCACTTAACTCTTAACGCTGCTTCATTAACAGTTTCTGATCCTAGACAACAGTTAGCCCTTCTCCTTTGTATATATTTTCATTCCTTTACCCTAATATTGGGTCATTACACAACTTTTGGACCAGGCTTTAAAACTTCTGAAGGCACTGTAGAAACTTGAGGGTTCAGTTGAGGTGTAAAAGCTTTGACAAACCAGCAGTACTATATGTATCAGTCACTTAGAGAACAAGCGCCGCTACAGTGTTATAACACTACAAAACGTGTAATTGAAGTAAATATGACAACGAGTTGTTAACGAGCACTGCTCAGATCTTCACTGTATGGCCGCACAAGACGCTATTCTAAATGTATCCACGCAGGTGATCGTTCAATGCAGCCATATCGTCAGTGGACAAATTAATTACAGATGTTTGGATTTGCAAGAAGTGGGCAAGAACAAGTAACAATCTGTAACGAAAGGGGGTGAGCCAAATGTATTTTCTATACTTATGTTCTGCCTTGTGTTTCTGTTACTGTGTTCATGTGTGTGTGTGTGTGTGTGTGTGTGTGTGTGTGTGTGTGTGTGTGTGTGTGTGTGTGTGCTCATTCATGCCCCAGTATTGGTATGATCTGAGTTTAGAAAAATTTATACTTTCCGCCTATTGCATTGGCTGTGGTAGTTTAATTCATGCCTTTCTTGACTTGTTTGTAGTTGCAATGTTCTTAAGATGGACTGTAGTTGGTTATCTTTGAAATGCAGACAATTTGTCTATTTGATGGTGTGCAATATACTGCATGGTTGATTTGGATACAAATTAAAAAGTAGCAAAGCATGTAATGGAATAGGGAAATTTGGAGTCAGAAGATGCTTAAGTTAATATAGACCAGGAGATACATTTTACTTGATATGTCTATAGACATAATGTATTATAACATCAAAACTCTCTCCATCAGACACTTGTATTGTTCAGGGATCTTTTGACAATGGCAACAATTTTAATTGTAACTGTAAGTGGGCACCAGAGCCTATTGGTATTGTTGTGCTAGTTCCAGGGCACACAGCTCCACCCCGGGAACATGGATATGCTTTATTTGCCTTTTTTAGTTTCATGGTTCTCGAAGTGAGAATATTGATTTGCACCTGTTGAACTCCACGCTTCCTCATTGTTGTTGCCGAGGGCTGCTACAGTAACTCTGCAGATGTTATACTGTTCGAAGTGCTATTTATTGTAGAGGGCGAGGCTATTGGCAGCTACACCATGTGGAATTAATTCTGTTGGCAAAGTCACTTGACACAACTCATAAAAGCTGTTGTCTGGACAGTGGGGTCCTCATAATAGCTGAGAAAATAAATGATAATCAGAGGGTTATGAACTATATCAACTCTAAATCTGATTTGTAATGGATAAAGTTTGATGTCAGATAAATACAGAAAGCACATCATTAATGGTTAGATTTCTAGATTTCAGTTTGATCTCTCTTCTGCTGCTGCATGTGTCCGCTAGTTGTTTGTTGATTTTGTCCTCGCTGGATTTTGTCTAATTTTCTATTCTTCACTTCTGTCAAGAAGTAAATTTGATTTAGAGCAGTGGTTCTCAACTGGTGGGCCGAAGACCAAAAGTAGGTTGCAGATCTGTTTTCAGTCAGTGTAGAATGTGTTCCTGATTCCTTCTGTTTGTTCTGTCAAATGTTTTGTACCACCTGAGGTCCAAATGGCCCCATTTTTCATTAAATGATTTGGTTAGTTGAAAAATTTCAGAAATTTGGGTAAGGATTCCTCATGATATGTCATTTCTCTATATTATTATTATTATTATTATTATTATTATTATTATTAAGGATAGGATGATGGGTCCTGAGGCTAGAGTGATGTATTTGTATTTAATTTTTTACATTTTTTTTTATTATGGCCTGTCAAAGTATAATTTCTCTAATTATGTAATGGTGCAGTGTTCAGGAAAATTCAAATCCATTTTCCTTGATTAAAAAGGATTCTGTGTCAACTCATCTTGCTTTAAATCTGGACTGACTTTATTATAGTAATTTGTATTGAACTGTAATGCAATTCAGATTATGTCACAACCTAATATTTGCATCAGGATACAGTTTTAAATATGAAAAGGTAAATCCTTTTCCAATAAGATGCAGACTCCACAATTTAAAATACATTTGAATTTATTTTGCATGATTTTAAAAAATTGTCTGTCATTTAAAAATGACAGACAATAAGGATCTAAGCAAGAACATTGCAAAGGGATTCAACTTTGTAATTCTGCACATTCTGTAGGTCTCCTGTACTTTTATAAAACAACCTTTTGACAGACAAAAAAAAAACAAATCAAGAACAAAGTTTAGAAAATATGAATCCAATCCAAAATGTAAATGAAAAATATATTGACCTGATGAGGATTTATATTTTACACTTACATAACTTCATTAACCGCTTTTCCTTCATTATTAACAATTAACACTATCATCTAATGCTAAACTGATAATCATTGTAAGAAATACAAAAAGATGAGCACCGGAAATCAATGTCATTCACTTCACACAAAAAAAGGTATCTCCTTCTACTTTTTTGGTGGATCCTGACAAAGATAAAACCATTAAGCATTCTAAAAAAATGATCAAAAAAAAAAACTAGTGCTGACTGATTCTGTTGTGGTGTAATATGTATACATTCATTCGCTGACTGTGCGAGGGCTTAAATTTGAGCCGTCTAGATCAGAGTTTTAACAGTCAGTAAACTGACTAGTAAGGTCACCATGCAGGTCAGTTGGCCCGAGGCATTGCTCTTTTCCACTCTGCCATCTGCAAAAGAACAACCAATGTTTTAGATGAAATGTCTCCAACAGCTGTATGTCATCTAAAATGCAAAAAATAAGATAACTTTACCTTTGTAAAGTGATCGTGCCTGTCTCAGGACAATGGGTCCAACTGAGATGTCTGTAGGTTCATGTTGTGATACATCCCTCTGAACTCGCCCGTGATGACCTGGGTAGCAGTTCTGCAGAAAATCATAAACATCTTATTGTGATGCACCGGTTGATAATCTGTACAATACACACACAAACAAAATAGTACTCACATTGACGCAGTTGTTATTCTTCAAAAGACAGAGGTGGACCTGGCAATGCAGGTAGATGGTTGAAGAGTTGGTGAAGGTGAACATCTTGAAGGAGAATCGGGACACTGTGGAGATGCCATTTTGAATCACCTCTACTGTACCATCTTGTGGGTTAGGACACCTAGAAGACAGGCAAAGTTGTTGACATGCAGACCATGTAAAGTAACATAATCAATGTTATAAGAGATGATGGCTGCAGAAAGTTAAGAACAACAAACAAGTGAGGAGGACAAGTTAAAGTTGAAAAACGTGGCTTTACTCTGCACTGATGAGATCCCAGCGGACAGGGTAGTTTGCAATGTTGACAGGCGTGGCCCAACAAGAGTCTAGGATGGTGGAGATCTGCCGTTCATCAAGTCCTTCTGTCCGAACCTCCACATATATCCTTTGGTTGATTTCAATTTCTGTGTTGTTGTCACCAGTGAGGGGGTGTGGAAGTCTGCGTCCTGGTAGGGTATTATTCTGATACTATACTGCCCAACGCCAGCAGGTAGATTCCTGTTCACGATGCTAAAAACAAAAAAATATGTTGTGATTAAACTAAAGAAGCAGGTTATCTATAAGCTCAATTGATATGCAGCAATACATAAGATTTGTTCAGTAAATACAATTAACATAATACAGGGTAGTCCTTTGAGTATTTTTGACATATTCACATCCCACTCATGGATCATTAGACTCCCCTGAGTTTCTGGATGAATGTTGCTTTAAAGGGTTGGGCGGAGAAGAGTTCAGGTAATTGGCACAACATTTGTTTAAATTAATTTAAGTCTTTTTAATCAACACTGTTATCATACAGCACCAGTATGACAAAACAATAAAAACATTAAGGTTCTAGGCTGATGCTGACACTTAGTTTTTTAAAGTGTTATTGGAAAATGGAAATAATGAAAATCTACTTGCTATACTATACTAAAAACACTATGAAGAGATGTTTTTCGTTTATTTAGTATGCAACAAGAGTAAAAAAAGTTAACAAAGAATGCAGAGGGGAAGTTATTGCTACCTCTCTACAGGGTTGATGCCCACAGCCATAGACAGGGCCCTGGTCAGAGGGTAGTCACAGCAGAAATTCAGATTTAGATTATTTTTACGGCTAATTAGTTCGCCATGGGTGTCCACGTCACCCTTAATGGTGTTCTCGTAGATGATGTGGGTCCCATTGCTCTGAAATACGAGATGACAAAATGTAAGGGGTTAATAATAGTTCAAATACAGTAGTTGTTTTAACCTCTCAAATCGCATCCAAAGAATATTCATACAACTCAGATTGTGTTCTAATATTTATTATATAAGGTATAGATTTACCCTAAGAACTGTCCCGCACTTGTGCTCTTCATTGTCAAATTGAAACACTAGTTTGCCGTCCTGAATTGTCCCGTTGCAGGAGTGATCTTTGAGGTGGAGGGTGCTTGGTTTGAAGCCAGCTTCAAACAACTGGCAGCGCGACAAAGACATGGTGCCTGTACTGCTGACACAAGCGATTGACGAGTCTGCAAAAGCCAAATACACAATACAAAGCAACATTTTAAGAGTTTCTATTGCCTGTGTCATGGTTATTGGTTAGCTTTTATATGACAAATTTGATCACATAGCATCTGTATAGAGATGTTGATTATGCTGACTAACCAACGGTGTAGATTAGGTTGTTGATTGTATGCTTTGTCCGACATGGATGGTACACGTTTAATAATTAGGAGCATAAGCTAACATTTTAAGGAAACAACGTCAGTCAGGGCTGACAATCTGAATAGTTAAACTCATTCATATTTCATCCAAAATGAAGAAGTATAAAGTTGTTCAGACCCAGATTGAACTGACAGTTTTTTCAACATTGTATCCTCTAAATTTCCTTCCACAATAAACTGCATTCTGAGGAAAATTTCAAGCTAGGTCATTGGAAAAATTTGTCCAAGTACACCTTGAGACTCGTACTGTAGTTCAATTCTGCCTTTTTATCTAAAAGGTTGGTAGTTTTGACTTGAAGGCAAATAACCATGTATTTTTTTTTTTAAAGTTCTGATTTACTCCAGAACTGTACTGTTTAAGGTGTTCATATGTCAGTGTTTTGTTATCAGCTTGTTGTGCTGCCCCTTAACTGCAAAAACTATGTTGATATTGGTTAAAAGAGATAGTTAATGTTCAAAATTTAGACAATACTTATGTTCTTTAAATCCCTATGAATGTGAGCTTATGTACTCAAGCGTGTCCATTTCTTGACTTAAATGCAATGATTCAGGATTTAACTGGCATATTCTCACCATAGCTCTCATGTTTTGCCCGATGGTGCTGCTCATCACAGAAGCAGCCGTACTCTCCATAACGCTCACCGCACCACTCATCCTCTGAGCAGTCCAATTGATCGCATGGGTCTGACTCAGCTGTGGTGAAGTTGAGAAAATGATTAGGAAAGGAGGGTTAAAACTGCAACAAATCATGGAACAGAAACTACCATCTATACACAAGTTGCCAGGAGTCTTTTTTATTCCTGATTCTATATCTCATATGCCCCTTAGGGTAGTTGAAACCTACCACAATACAAAGCAGAGCGCCATTCTGGGATGTTTAATCCAAGAACTGAGCAAGTTGACTCATAGGCAGACACAGCAGAACACAGCATGCCATTGGCTTGAGTGTAGAGGCAGAGATCATACACACAGGCGCTGTAAAATGGCTGTGGGTCAGAGTGTGAGTGACAGGAACTGAATGGGCCAGTGGTGTTTGTGATGACACTACAGAGGTCAGAGTATTCTTGCATGAAGGGGCAGTCGGTCAATCCATCACCAACGTCATCATCTGTGGATCCACATCTAGAAAAGACAATATCACATTATGCATAATGTCACAGTGCCTTCTGTGATTATTACAGTCACATACAAAGTGTGCAAATTTGCTTGCAAATGGAGCCAATGTAATGTTTCAGACCATATCTGACAAAGTAATAATAACTAATGGTCTACATTGTTGCTGACAAGATGTCTGCTTTTGTAGGTCATATAAAGGCATTGTTTCCAGTGTTTTTCATAACCATCTTAAAACTAACTGTAGTAAGTGATTATTACATTGTGGTCAACTTGAACAAGACCTGTTTCTTTATGAAATGAAAGAATGTCAACTAACAATGGTATCTGAATGTTATTTTTTTTTACAAGCGCTTACCCTGGTTGGCTTGTCGGTGACATCCAGCTGTGCCCGAAATGATTATCATTTAGAGCCAATGTTCCATTAGGCAAGACTTTGTCATCTGAAGAGTCACCGTTAAAGTTTCCACACATCCCACTGACTCTGTTTTCACGGTTTTTGCCGATTCTCACCATTAATGTACTCTTTCCATCAAACTCTACTATCAGGTCACCGGCATTGACTTCTATGAAGCTTCCCTTCCTTGACACATGAACTAAGGTGCCTGCAATGGTGGGAAGAGACACCTCACTTCCATTTACCTGATGGGATGAGAGATGAAAGAGGAAAGGAATGAGAACATGCTTGTGGCCTCTTTTTTTTTTTTTATTAAGCATCTTAAAAATAATAAAGAGCTTACCTTAACTATTTTGTTCGGTCCAATCCTTATGTGTGCACTCTCTGGCATATTTGAGAGGTATACATCCACTGCTGATACAAACGACACGTGGTTGTTGCCTCGGTGATTATTGGTGGCTACTACCTGAAACTGTGTTTCATTCATACTGTGGCTCCCACTCTCAGTAACGATGTAAGAGCATGTGCCCTGAAAATGAGCCAGTGCCCCATCAAAGCAAGAGTAGTGTGGGTCTCCCCACACAGTGCAAGTAGCCATAGCAGATGTTGCAGCAAAACAGCCTAGCTTGCCATTTCTAATTGTGCACTCTTGTGCAGGAGTGCAAGATGCAGCAGAACAGCGCAGGTCATTGGGAGCATGGCACTGACATTGTAGGGAGCAATTGTCCGTCCTGAAGGACTCACCAGCCTGGAGCATGTGAAAAAGAGAGACCAATAAAAAATAACTGAATATAGTATATGTCACATGAATAAAGGACACCACACTTCTTTTTTTTTCAACAACGTTGTTGCCAAGTAATAAATGCTTAAAAGTTTAATTAAATTCAATAATCTAAATATTTTCCTTTAGAAGTAGACCAAAACAGAAACCACTGTTTCCCCCTTTACATTTTTTTGGGTTATGCAACAGGCTCTAAATAGTATCCTCAAATTAAAAAATGTTTATATGTGCAACATGTACTTATGAATATGTCATATTTTACTATAGCTCAAAAAAATTAGGTGAAATATTCAGCCAAATTATTGCAAAATGTGCTTCATGTGTTGCAATAGTAACCAAAGTGTGACTGGGCACACAAAGAAAACTGTGCACACAGTCAAGAAATGTTTTGCCCTTTAGGTGAGTATCTGTGGCTAGACTTAATATGTAAATACTCACCCCTAATCCCTTACAGAAGCACATATCTTAATTACATTTTTAGACAAAGTTTAAAATATATATATATTTTTAATGGTTGACAGAGGGAGAATTATTGCCTCTCTGATAAACAAGAGCTGACAATTAGCCAATGAAATGTATGTGTATTGGCTTGTGTCATAATACAGAATGTCAGATACATTTTTAGGGAAAATTATATAAAACTACTTATCAACAGGTATATTACTCACATTATAGTAGTAGCCATCATATTGGCACCCACAGTTTTCTACAGGGACACATTTTGTCCCACTCCTTACGAAGCCTTCATCACAGAAACATCCCTCAGAGCAAACCTGCACACAGGTTGCATCAATGCTGCTGGCACAGGTGTGGCCACAGTCAGTACCACACAGCTCATAATGGGTGTTCGTTGTACAGTCAAGTTCTTTAAAATTGAGGAAACAAGATTGATTTTAGATGGTTACAACAGAAAAATGTAGTCAATTTACTAAGCCTGTATTTAGATGCAATGGTCAACTTTATTTTTTAACGGTGTTAACTTACGGCAGGTTGTGTTCTCTCTCCAAGGGTAGATTCGAACATTAGCAGACTGACATGCAGTGACATATGCCTCAATTGCCCTGCACAGAAGATCTTGGCCCTCATTGCCCGACACACAAACATCAAACACACAGTCATTGAAATATGGTGCTGGGTCCACCTGCCCATGGCAGAAGCTGAAGGGGCCATCAGCTGCCTGAATCAGCTCACATTTGGCTCTAGCAGGCTGGTCGTTGGTGCATTGCTGGCAGGAGGAGCCACACCCATCACTGCAGGTGTAGTTGCCTGCCACTTTCCAAGCTTTTCCAAACTCATCTGGAGTGTTGACAATCATTCCTGACGGGGTGTGGAAGTCATCATTTGGATCCCCATTGAAGTTGCCACAAAGTCCACATGTCTGCCCACTTTAAGTAATAATATACAAAATATTCATATTGTTACACAAAAATTACTTCAAAGACAAAACAAATAAGAAGTCGACAAGTTAACAACATAAATACATTGAAATACACAATTAAATTAGAATTTTTTTGGGCTTAAAATATTCCAATTAAAAGTATTTGTGTAATGTACCTAAATAAGTAGAAATAAAGTTTAAGTTGCAGATACCTGTAATTAGAAGGCACAGAGATAGTCACTGTACTCCATCCGTCGTATGTGACACTCAGGCCAAAGTCAGTACTAACAAATGTGCGAGATCCACTTGCATAGATGGAAACTTGGCCTCCTTTCAAGAGAACTGGTAAATTTGTTGTAATTCCATTTATCTATATCATTGGAAATAAAAAACAAACAGAGGATTATAACTAACCAAAACAGTTTTATTAAACAACTCAATAAATTAAAATGCCATTTTACTGGCTGTAAGCAAAAACGTACTTTAGCAAGGATCCCCTAGATTGACCAACAGTTCCCAAATGGTTGACTCACCTCTACCATGCCACTGATGTCCCCTGACAGGTGCACTTGATAGCCCCACACATTGACAAAAACTTCAGCTGTGATTGAGACAGGAGCGCCTTGCCATTGCTCATTCTTTGCTTCCACTGAGAATTCATGGTGTTCATCAGTGGCATTACAAAGTGTTGCCAGAACATACCGGCAGGTCCCCTGGAAGTCAAACGGTTTGCCATCAAAGCTGAGGTAGTGAGGGTCACCTGATGCAGAGCAGATGCCATGCGGGCTTGGATGGCATCCAAACTCTCCCTCCACCACACGGCAGGACTCAAGGGGACCACAGGAGCTTGGGTTACAGTGGACTATTCCAGTATTGCCATTACAGTTGCACAAATTCTGACACTCCTCCCCATCCCAAAACTGATCACCACTTTCTCGATAGCGTCCTTGATAATAGCATCCACAGTCTGTTGGTGGCACACATTGATTGCCATTAAGGACAAAACCATCATCACACTGGCATCCTTCCTGGCACTGACTGTTACAGGAGAAGGGAAATGAGAGGGTGGGGCAAGAGGAAGGACAAGAACCTCCGCAGAGTTCGTAATGGCTGTTCACAGGGCAGTTTTGCTCTAGAGAGAAACAGAAATAAATGATTAAGCAGATGTATTAAAATTATTTATTTTCAAGCTAGCTTCACCAAAAGCAAAATGCTTACCACAACCAGTTAAATTCCTCCAGTATCCTAGGATGATACCCTTCTGTTGACACATTAGTGCATAATCTTGTAGGACCTTGCAATGGAATGATGCTGGATCTGGAGAGGCTTCAATGATATCCACACAGGCATCCACATGCTGTTGTGCATCTACTGAAGCCCAACACTTGGCAAATGGCCCATGTGGTGATCCAAGGATGTCACAGTCCTGCCTAGACTTGTTGTATGTTGTAGAGTTATGATCTCTGTTCTCCACACAGTGAGCAGCAAGGGAGCCATCTCGCCAACTGTCCCCAAAAATCTGAGAGCTATTGACTAGGTTGCCATTGGGTGTGAGGAAGTCGTCATAAGGGTGACCATTGTAATTACCACAGAGTCCACCAAGTGTGCCATTGTAGATACCAGGTGCTGTGACACGCACATAGTGAGGCCAGACTGTCTGCACAGTTACACCAAATGAGGTGTGAAGGATGATACTGTGAATGCTGCTGTGGTAGATCTGGATTTGGTTTGATGCTGAGCTGAAGGGTAGTCTGATACGTTGACCATCGACCTAAATGGCAATGTAAAAAGACATAATTAGAAGATCTTTTGGAATTGTTGGGACAATATTTTAACATACGTGTTGTCACATTTGTCTTCATGAGCTCTATATTACCTTAACACTGCTGCTGCCTGTTATTTCAATGGAGACTTGTGTTCCCTCTGCCTCAAACGTTAGCACATTGGCAAAACCCTGCTGTCCTCTGGGCACTTTCTCTGTTGTCACCATAAAGTGTGGGTGATTAGACAATCCCATTACTTTGGCAAGGGTCAATCGACAGGCCCCAGGGTACTGATATGCCTTTCCATCAAATGTATGATATGACCCTGGGCCCTTAACCCAGCATGTTGCATAACTGTTAGGTGTGCATCCTCTTTTACCGTCTACCACACTGCAAGATTCAAGTGGGCCACAACCATGGTAACTGCAGGTCATGGAGCCATAACTGCAGCTGCAAAGTCTGCCACAGTCCTCATCTAGTATTACTGTTTCTCCAGAGCGGTAGTAGCTACCCTCAAAGCTGCAGCCACACTCAGCATGAGGAACACAGACTCCACCACTAAGGATGTAGCCAGAATCACAGATGCAGCTCTCCTTGTTATTTAGAGGGCAGTTATAGGTAGAATTTGGATTGACACAGGTAGCTGGACATCCTGTTCCTTGAGACTCAAAGTGACTGTTGGAGGGACATGGGATTTCTAAACAAAAGAAAAGAAAATCATATTAATTTCAAAGCAACTACAGCAAAATATGTTTTATGGTGTTGAAAGAAAGAGATGTACCACAGAATCCTTCGCTCCTCCAGCTTGCAAGCTGAATACCCAACTGTTGACACTGACTTGCATAGACGTTAAGGGCTTGGCACAGTATGGGCTGGTAACCTTCTCCCACACATAGATCAAACACACAGTTCTCGGCAAAGAGCTCTGGAGAAAGATGTGGATGGCATGCAGCAAATGGACCGGAATTGTTCTTGAGGATACCACAATGGTCAAAATTGCTGAATAAAGCTGTCTGACTCTCGGTGCAGGCAGCACAGTTTAGACCTCCACAATTTGTCCCACAGCCAGGTTCATCACCTACTGATGCTTGCCAGCTGTCAGCAAAAACCACGTCAGAGCTAACAAGCTCGCCTTGGCGGGTCCGAAAGTCATCCCCAGGGTTATTGTTGAAGTTTCCACACAAGCCACATGTTGCATTAAAGTATGTGTAAGGCAGACTGATCTTGGCCAAATGGTTGTTATCATAGGATACCTCTAATCCAAAATCAGTGCTGATGATCAAAGAAAAACCTGACTCAAAAACCTGGATAGCGCCATTGTTGAGGGAGATTGGAGTTGCTTTAAAACTTCCATTTACCTGTAAGCACACCGGAAAGCAAAAAAATTATTGTAAAAAATGTTTAAAAAAAAAAAATACCACAGGGAATGAAAACGTAATAATTAGTAACTTAATAACTTAGTAATAATAGTTACTTGCCTTGGCCTCTCCATGATGTCCCTTCACAAGCTCAATGGTTTCATTATAGACAAACACTTTAACCAGTCTGGTCCATGAAACATGAGTGCTGCCCCTATGCTCATTCTTGCCCTCTACTCTAAAGTAGGGCAGCTCTAGTCCACATTGCTCAGAGAGAATGTAAGTGCAGGTACCCTGAAAGTGAAACACTGTGCCATCGAAGGTATAGTAATGCGGATCCCCACTTATAGTGCAGATGCCTTTCTGCACCGTCTGGCAGGAGTACTGAAAGGCTGCAGGCTGGCAGACTTGGGAAAAAGAGCAGGGTTGGCTGTGACACTGTAGGCCTGCTAAGGTGCAGGTGCACTTCTGTGAACAGGTACTGTCGCTCCAGAATGACTCAAACAATTGTACTGGTGAACCTTTGTAGGAAATAAAAAGAAAAGTTACATAGGGAATGCCCTCCAAAACTTAATGTAATAATGGCTGACAGTAAAGTTGGTACAAAAAATAAGTCTGTCTTGTTCAACTTGAAGACATTGACATTCCTAAACAATTTTACATTTGAGAACTTCTTGGGCATATAACACTTTCGAAGGACTTCAAATAACAAATGTGAGAAGGTTCTCTGTCTACTCTGTTTATGTATAGGTTACCATATTTTAATGTAATCAGTGCACAAAAAAATATACCTGGGTTCAACATGTGGTAGACAACACAACAGTGAGTTCTTGAACACAGCCTTTCACCTGTCCCCTCCCCCACTAACTAATCAGGTGAGCTTATTTAAGGGAGCTGTATGCCAGGTACAGGTCTCCTGCTCCTGTCTGGCATGTGTATTTGTGTTTGGTGTTGCTGATGGTAGGTACAGCCTTGATTCAATGTGTTTCTAGCTGGTTTTATTTGTTAATAACATCCTTGTTTGGTTGTTGCTGCAGATTTAATAGCTGGCCTGTGGTTACTTGCTCTGTAGGGTGGCTCTCTATTTTTAGTTTTGAGGTGAAGCATTGATTGATTTTTTATTAATATTTGTTTTCCTTTTGGTTGCTTAAACTGCTGCTGTATTGTAGTGTTTAGTCCCCTTTTGTACTAAAGTACTTTTCTTTTTGGCCCCTTTCACTCATCGATTGTCCCAGTTAGTTTTGATTGGTTTGTTCATATTGTTTTGTTTTTGTATTACTTCAACTTTGTGTTCATTTAGTTTGCCGTCAACTGACTGGAATTTGCTTGTGTTTACTTTGTTTTGGTTATTTAAATTATTTTTGTTTTTCTTTCAGCCACTTAGTTGGGAAGCTAGGCACCCAGGGTGAGGGCTCTCCAATTGTTGCATGTGAGTTAAAGAGCACTGGGGCATAAGTAGACTACACCAAAGTTGTTGAGGATTGCTGTGTGATTTTCTGTGCTGCACCTGAGTATGTGGTTGCACCCCACACCTTCCTCAGTGTAGTCTGCCTCTTCACTAGTGGCTTAAGCTCAGTTTTGGTTTATTTCTAGACTGGTAGTGTTTTAAGCATTTGACCTCGTTTAGCCCATTTTAGATTCTGTGATTAAAATAAAAATGTATCTTAATTCTCCTTATTAGTATTTGCATTATTATATTGTTTAACAATTTTTTCCTTCCCTACAGCTTCAGTCTACCTTAATTTGCATATTTCCTTCGATTTATTCAAATAAATTCTTTTGAAAATGCGTTATTTGACATAATTAGTTATGACCATCACCTACTCTTGCCACAAACCTAAAAAACAAGATTAGAAAAGTGGGTCTGAGCTAACCATTGAAAGTGCAGGTCCTGGTTCCATTGTCTACCCTGAAGGCCCAGCGACCTGGTATGTTGACATTACTGCTCTGGTTGAGACTGGTAGATTCATTGTGTGATGCAATGTTATAGAATGCTCCATGGATGGTGAAATAGTAAGCGGAATGGGCTGTGTCATATCCTGCCTGAAATATACAAAGATAAAATTGCATTTACATTTCTGCATAAAAGTTTAAATAAGTGTGAACTTAATACAATGCTTATCGTTTTTTTTTTAATTAGAATTGATCATTTTAATTGTTCAAACCTGCACATTGTGAAACGGTGGGGCTATGATTCCATAGTTCATCAGCACAAATGAGTACTGGCCATCAGAGATCAAGACTGCTTGAACTGTAGTTTCCTGAAAAAAAAAGGTGGATTTACAGTTTTTGTAGTAAATAAACTCAAAGATAAAACACCAATATGTCAGATGCAATTTCCTGTTACATTATATGATGACTTACTGTTCCACTGTTTGGAAAGTAGGCCATCTCATACCATGTTGCAACAAAGACCAAGCTGGCGTTAAAGTTCAGGCCTGGGAAGTAGTTATTAATGTCTTGGTTTGCTTGATTAAGAACACTGCCGCTGGTGTATTGGTTGTAGTAGACCCAACCAGTTTTTCTGTTGTCAAAATCTGTCCAGAATGGTGCAATGATGTCTCTGGTACCATGCATTGGAAACATTTGAGGTATGTAACTATACCATGATGAGTCAAAGGTCATGTGTCCATTATGGTTCACCTGGGGAAAAAAATAAACAAACTTTGGCAAAAGAAGTACTTTAAGGCTTCAGTACATTAATCATCTCATAGTTTCAATTCTTCTTATCATAAAAGAACTCTACTGACAAAGGAGTTGAATACACTGTTAATTGAAGGTTATGCAATCAGTATATGTGTAGGTACATGTCAAGGTTACTAACAGAAAACTTGAAAGTCCTGTTGGAATTAATGAATTGAGTATTAAGAAAAAAGGTTTCACTGATTCCTTCATAAGTCAGTGCTTGAAGTTGACTTGCGTCTTAAGTTGGTGTACAAATTAAATGGTACAGGCTAATTATGACAATTTCAAAACGCAAAGTGGTGCTTGGCTGTACCATGAACAAAGTGCTAACTAGCTGTGCATTGTTGATCTGTGTCTTGGGGAACATCTTAGTCATAATGGAAACCCAAGTGAAAGTCTTCCTCTTCCTTATTATTTTAATATTAATAGTTCATAGTTCCTGGGTTACAGAATTCATAAAAATGGCGAGGGTTGGAACTGTTCCTAGAACTATGAAAGGTTCCTGCGGTCCAAAAAAAGCCTATACTGTGTTCTTGTTAGCTTTTTAATCAACAGATGTTTCCATAGCAACCATTTTATGTTTGAAAAACCAAGGGGATGGGTCCACTTAGACTTGGAGGGAAACCAGTATTTGTGAAAACTATTCTGTATTGTCTGTAGAATGAAAATTTATTCCGACATTAAGAAAATACTAAAAACGTTTGCTGAATATTTTTTTACATACATAAATCTGGTTATACGTCTGTCCAAAGTACACAAAAGGGTGCTGCAGGGAAATCAGTGGAGAACTTCCATCAAGTGCTCTAGCGGTCGTTGTTCCAGCAATGGGGTAGAGGGGTCCTAGAAAGAACAATGGACACAACAATTACAGAAAAATACAAGGCACATCAATATCAGTCTCCTAGGCAGCTGTTGCATAATGTTTAACATTTCTCAATCCACTTTTAAGGTACAACAAGTTGAAATTTGACTTAACAAATAAGGCCAATATGTCCTTTTCAAAGCAACTGTGTTTTGTTAACAAACATACAGTCACACAATAGAGGTATTATCTCTAACCCACTGGAAATAAGTAAAATCCCTCAGTATAAGTACAGTACTTTTTGCAACCATTTTTGACATAAAGCCATGGATTGTGTGTTCATAGAATGGACATATGAAAACAAATACTATTATTTAAGATCCAACTTACCTCCAATAACCTGAGGATTCAATGGAGGAGTTGGCTGAACTGTTGTCGTCGGAGGAATGGTTGGACCTTATAAATAAGCGCAAAAAAAATTATTTGTATGGTGAAAATAGTCCTGTTGACACTTCAAAAATCAACTCTTTCATTGAGAAGCATCCAAGTGATAAATCCTGTTTAAAAGTGTTTCCTATCCACCAGTAGCCTTTAAGGAAGCACATAAATGAAAGTATTCCCTTTTAGTCCATTGCTTACTCATGTTTACTAGTAACGAATGTTTCAAATGCTGCTTCATTGCTCACCCAAAGAAGTAAATAAATAATGTATAGCTAAATCTACTGACATTGGTTTTTAGGTGGTAGTTTCTTAAAATTTGCTAAATTAAATGGTACCTGCAGCAATCTAAAACTTAACTTCCTGCCTGGTTTCTCAACACAAGGGTCAGGTGGACAGGCATCTCCTGCGACAAATACACTTACTATCAACAGCTTCTTCATACAACCCTGCTTCAGAAGAAAAAAGGAGAAAAATCACTTACAGTTGATTACACAGCCTCTCGTTCCATTGTCCACCCGGAAAGCCCAGCGACCGAGTTCGTTGACGTTGCTACTCTGGCGGAAACTTGAGTTATTGCCTATTCCATTGTTGGAGAATGATCCGGGTATGGTGAAATGGTATGATGAATGGACTGTGTCATATCCTGCCTGAAATATACAAAGATAAAATTGCATTTACATTTCTGCATAAAAGTTTAAATAAGTGTGAACTTAATACAATGCTTATCGTTTTTTTTTTTATTAGAATTGATCATTTTAGTTGTTCAAACCTGCACATTGTGAACCGGTGGGGCTATGATTCCATAGTTCATCAGCACAAATGAGTACTGGCCATCAGAGATCAAGACTGCTTGAACTGTAGTTTCCTGAAAAAAAAGGTGGATTTACAGTTTTTGTAGTAAATATACTCAAAGATAAAACACCAATATGTCAGATGCAATTTCCTGTTACATTATATGATGACTTACTGTTCCACTGTTTGGATAGTAGGCCATCTCATACCATGTTGCAACAAAGACCAAGCTGGCGTTAAAGTTCAGGCCTGGGAAGTAGTTATTATGTCTTGGTTTGCTTGATTAAGAACACTGCCGCTGGTGTATTGGTTGTAGTAGACCCAACCAGTTTTTCTGTTGTCAAAATCTGTCCAGAATGGCGCGATGATGTCTCTGGTACCATGCATTGGAAACATTTGAGGTATGTAACTATACCATGATGAGTGAAAGGTAATATGTCCATTGTGGTTCACCTGGAAGCAAAAAATAATTAGTCGTTACAGATTACTTGTAATGACAGTAGCATGTTCAGCCATATCAGCATATCTTTGGTTAAAGTTAAGGATTTCCTATAGAAAAGTTGTTCGGCCTGGTGGAAAACATCTTATGACAAGGGCATGGTCTGTGGTCAAGTATCTTTTTTGACAGGGGACAGATGATGGGTCCTACAGTTTACATGGTAACAGAGTCATAGAAAAAAGTGCAATTGAGAATGTAAAAAAGGTATAACGCAAAAAGGTTCCTTCAACATTTCTGTGCACAAAATTATGAATCTGATGCCTTTTTTTTATAACCTAAAGAAATAATTAATTTAAGATACAACAGGGTGCTTTGCTGTATCAAGGAATACCTGACTGCAGGGTGCAATTTGTTGAAATGTGGATGGGTTAAGGTTATGTACATTAAGGAACTGCAATGTTGCTCTCTTCTTTATTACCACCACCAGTGTTTGGCCTTTTGAAAAAGAATTGGCTGAATAGGTTGAATTGGCATTTACCTTGCACCCTTGATATTATCCCTTAAGGTCAAAGAGGAAGTTTTACTGTATTTTTAGCTATCTTGCAAAGTTTCGTAGGTTGCTTAAATGATAGAAAGCAAAAAGTGTTGAACGTCACAAGGGTTAAGTACAAGTTTCTCAAACCTACTTGGTTCCTCACAGCATTTTAATCAATAGATGTTGCTCATCCAGTTATTTAACACTTTGACTACCACGCAGAGGGATAAACTAAGGCCTGGAGAGCTGCCAGCCTTGCAAAGCATTGGCTGAAACCCTGCAAGTTTTTAATATCATAAGTAACTATATTTTTATTCAAACTCCATCAATGATTCTCAAATGTCTGAAATATTCAATTCAAAAAAACATAATTGATTTTTGTATTGCTCAAATTGTTTTTACATACATATATCTGGTTATATGCATGTCCAAAGTACACAAAATCGTGTTGCAGGAGAATCAGAGGAGAACTTCCATCAAGTGATCGAGCGGTCGTTGTTCCAGCAATGGGGTAGAGGGGTCCTAGAAAGAACACCAGGCATAACATAAAACAAAACATACAGTGAGCATTCATTACAGCCTTTGAGGCAATTGCTGCACAATGTTCTCAACATTTAACATTTTTAGATAAGATTTAAAGGTACAGCAGCATAACAATCAATATGCATTGTCCAACAACCACTAATTGTTGCTATAAAAAAGCATAAAGTCACTGAACTGGAAAAAAGCGCACATAAATTTAATCCTTCCATTAGTAACTATTAAAGCCACTGATTCTGACATGATTGCATTACAAGTCTGTGCAGAGAACAAACAAATGATAAACTAGAACTTTTTTCAGGATTCAACTTACCACCAATAACCAGTGGATTCCATGGAGGAGTTGGCTGTTGAGTTGTGTTCTGAGTAGAAGTTGGAACTATTAAAATAAGAGCAGAAAAAAACAATACGCAAATTAATGACATTATAGAGTGTATAGTAACTCAGAATGAGAACTTTATCATGAAGCAGCATGCAAGTAAAATTCCAATATAGCAGTTATGATTAGCAGGGCACCAGTTTAACTTAGTTGGTGGAGCAGGAGCCCAATATAAAGAGGCTACAGTCCCCCAATGCATCTGCCACAGTTTGGAATTCCAGGCTTAGTTCCTTGATGCATACCCCACTTTACCCTAACCATAATGTCTCTCCTCAGCTGCCCCCTCAATAAAGGCAGAAAGGCAGGTAAAATCAACTTTTAAAAGTTGTTTGTAGCTATAAGAAGCCTTTCAGGGACCCTATTTTGTATTATTCATATTGTTAGACAGTTTTTAAATATTTGAAATGTATTACACTCCTAACCCTTGTGAATTTTCCTAAAATATATATTTTTTGTGAAATAGATTTTAACCAGACTTTTTCTTTTAATGCATTATCCCCTTTAAATTGAATTGTATTTAAAAAGAAGACCCCACAATTTTAAAGTGATGTGTTAAATGTGGGGAAAATTCAACTGTGAGCTGATTTAAATACATTTCCATCGTCCTAGTCCTGTTTCTATTTTCACAAGTTTTGTTAGAGTACCCTCTGAGGTAAAAAATCTTGGAAGAAGTCCTTGCTATGGAGCTCTTTAGGAGCATTCTCAGAACGACTCTGGTAAAGAAAGGCACAGAAACCTTTATCTTAATGAGGAGGCGGTGTTATTGACCCATTCATGTTGCTGGTCATTGTAGCTGCACCCCCTTTAATCTGTGATGCACCCTAAGTCATTTTGTTCTGGGCCTGTCCATTTGTATCCCTTCTTGTGGCATTCTTGACTGAACCTGTTGAAAATGCCACTTAGAGATATACTGTATATTGGAAGTAATCATGCTAATTTAAGACAAAATAATTTTGCTAACTGGTTTGGTGACGTCATGTGACTAATTATATGGTGTCAGTTTATTTCCGTGAGTGCAGATACAGGTGTAGCCATGCCCATCTTTTAACACTTCCAGGTGCAACCAGAGGGGGGCAGTAAAACACCGTCTTTAAGCCTTGAATGAAGTCTTTTATGAAAAGTTGAGATAAATCCTCGGCAGACTATTTGGCTCACTCTAAAGAGACATTTTCCTTTGGTGTCATAGTGTGGTACCTGTCCAACTCTCACAAGAATATCTTCTGCTGTATTATAACAACATCAAGCTTTTTCATATGTGGTGTTAAAATATCCTTTCAATGTCAATTCTAAGCTTTTTATTTTTTATTTTTTTTTCAAGGAGGCCAGACAACGCTGTGGACAGTGAGCAGGTATGCATGTTTGTTTTTATGCAAGTAAAGCTGGAATTAAAGGAGCAAAAACTAGGCCTACTTGCAGGTCATATCATTGCTTGTGAGCAAGTATTGTCTTGAATCCTCAAATACAACTCCTGGAAATGTCCTGAATAGGTCCTGACTGTGTGCTATATGAGTTAAAAGTCCAGGTACTTGCTTATTCACAAATCTGCTGCCAGTGCATGTGATATTTCCCTATACTATATTTGTATTTCAATCCCTTAAAAAAGTCAAATAAATTTAATAAACTTTATTTGACAAAAGCTACAGATAACATTTTCTGTTCAACGCTCCTTATTCACCCTTAGAATGCATAAACTCATACTCGTGTTATTAGCTTTTAGCCAGTGGTAATAATAATAATCCTTTGACATAATTGCAGGCCTTACTTGTTAATAGTATGAGATATAAAGAAAATTAGATTGGTGTAACATACCTCCTGTTATCTGAACAGTGGTCTGCGGAGTCACCACACCTATGAAAACAAAAAGCATCAATATGATTGGATAAGATAATGAAGCCAACCAATTTCTGTGTTATGGTATCTCTCTAACCTCCATATGTTTTATTATAGCTGTGCTGTATGAATAACACTTAATCTTTCAGTAGCACAAAACCCTGACATTGTTCAAAATGTAGTGCTAAATACAGAATAAATATACTTTGGGCTTAAAGTAATTATACTTTCAAAGCTACTCTTCCACTTCACAAACAAAGAATCATACCACTGTGAGGTTAGATGTAATCTGTTGGTAATTCACAAAATCTTTTGACATGGTTGTCTGGTCTGTTTTGACCAAATGCCAGCAATTTATTTCAATTCTTCTAAAGGGCTCACCATACAGATACAGGTAAATTTTACAATGTTTATGTCAATTGCCAAAAACTACATTGATGGTAAAATTAAAGAATCAAGAAAATTCAATGTAATTTCTCAGTTACTCACTTATTACCCCCAAAAGCAACACAGGTAACATGATTTGAGAAGCCATTCTCCAAATCCCAAAATTGAAACCTGTTGACCAGATATAAAGTGTTGGATTACCCACGCGTGTGCGCACGCGCACACACACACACACACACACACACACACACACACACACACACACACACACACACACACACACACACACACACACACACACACACGCCCACACACGCCCACACACGCCCACACACGCACTCACACGCACACACAAACACGCACACACATACGAACACACACACACACAAACATGCACAAACACTACCAAGTGGACATGAATTGATTTCCTACAAATCCTACACAACATCATAAAGTGGATCCATTTAATATGCACATTTAAATGAAAATAAAATACGGTAATTTCATTCAAATACAATTTAAAAAAACTGGAGATTTACACAATGAACCAAAATAGAAATACCATCAAATTAATTGAATTTGAAAGAGAATCAAAGAAATAGCATCTAAAAACGTTGTTATGCACGAGCGGGTCAAAAATGGCCCGATGAGGTTGTTTATTTGCGACTTCTTTGTTATTTTAGGTTGCTGTAATTTCAGGTATTCCTAGAAAGAAAATATGTTTCTGATATCATCTCATTCAAATTTTTTACTTATTTTTTTGTCATATTTAATAAATTGTAGTGTCTGTATTTCTAGTCCAAGCTTCCACAAGTGGGTTTACGATGACCCATATGCATTTTGTATTGACTGTGGCTATGAAGGACATATTTACTGTCAACTACAAAGTCAATATTTAGAAGTGTCACCCCTCATTAAGATCACTGTACACTGCAAGATCAGATACATGTCTGTATTATCTTCATTTTTTTAAAGTTTGCCAGTCTGTATATTGATACATTGATTTATGCATCAAATAGCAACAATAACAAAGCACTTGTTCTATTAGAAGATGTTTCATTAGATAAATATAACTTTTGCATCCTGATTAATGAAAAGCTAACAGGACAGTTGTCCTAATATCGTCTAATTGTCTGAGAAAATGTATAGGAAAGATTATAACAGTAAAAAGAACACTTAAACAATGTTAGAAGATATTGTTGAAATTGAAACTGCTTTGTTAAAATAAACAAACAAATACAGATTATACAGATGTATTTTGCATCACAATTACTTTATAAAATTCT